ACATCTCTCTCTCTCTCTCTCTCTCTCTCTCTCTCTCTCTCTCTCTCTCTCTCTCTCTCTCTGTATTGCATGCTTTTAATTTGTTATGTTATCTCTTTTGTTCCTTCTCTTAATCAATCATACCAATCTCACAAATATGTTTTTCCTTTTAATTTCATCTCTGATTATAAATTTATAAATTAAATTACACACACACATGCACAAATCTGTAGAATGTGTTTACACAAACAAACACATGCACACACACACACACACACGCTTATGGCAGATCTTTGTTCATATTCCAAAGTCATCTGGAAACATATGGGTCAGGCTAGCTAAAAGTAAATCATTTAAATGGTGTCACTCTGTGGATTGGAGTTTTCTTTTCTTTTTTTAATAGTACCCCAAGATTAGAAACAGAAACATTATTCCTTCTGGATTGTCAGACCCACTGCAATTTTTAAAATATATGATTTGTGTGAGCATCAGCTTTAACCATAGCATAACCATGGACTAAATCAAGGCTGTACACTTCTTCATAGTTTGATGATTATGTGTCAATGTATCCACACATTTGTATTTCTTAAACACTAATCCTAACTTCCAAGGGCTATAGGGGACCTGACAATGATGCAGGGGTTTTGCTGGAGCAGATGGGGCTGGAGTATTTTGACTCTTTTTTGCATTTTCATAGGAAGGTTCAGTCAAATCTGAGGTTTAATGCATCTGTTTTTCTATGGTTGGGGGAGGGAGCGATTTTTAAAAGTACAATATTGTAATTCAGTAATTTTGTTTAATTGTTTATTTATTTTATAGGCTGCCCCAGTCTTTTGGGTGGATGCCAGATTTTGCCACTGTGATCGCAAGGGCTGCAGAAAAGGGGACTGTGTGCATCCCCTGAGCTGTGGGTAGCTCATCCCGGTAAAAAGCCATTATATAAATCTGCCCACAATGTTCCATGCTAACCAGACTGACTTGAAAATACAACTAACTTGTTTCAATGGATCTTATTAACATGAGTTGCATAATTGTCTGTCAAGTAGAGCCCTCCCCCTTATTTCTTTCCTTCCTTATTCTTTGTGGCAGAATGATGATAAAGAGAGAAGAATCAAGATATCCCTCTAGCCTCCAAAAGTAATTAAACTTTCAATTTTAAGTTATTGTGGTTCCCTGACAAGCCATAACATTTTGCCTGTCATGTTCCTTTCCTTTTTTTCCTTTGCAATGTCATGGGTAGGACACAAAAGAGAGGATAAGAAGATTATCAGGATTCATTTCAGGAAGATATTATTCCCCTTTCATGTTGCTCCCAGGAAGGAAAAAGACACAGCAGACCTAAAGCATTTTAAACCAACCTTTTCTGAAATCCTATTAGGATCACACCTGCCATCTGGAGAAGCCATGATCAGAAGACTTGGATGAATGTACATGAAACAAATGTGAACTAAACATGGAGAATTTAATACTGAAGGTAAGTGAACTGTATTGGTAAGTCCTGAGCTACTCCCAGCAAAGCATAATTGCTTCTAGATTCTATATAGTGAATACAGGTAAGTCATAGGTGAATAATTCTGTGCACAAATGTAGTTTTTTCTAAGTCTTTGACTCATGTCCATTAGAAGTAAGAAGTTATATGCATCTCTGAGTTCTTACGCTTTCTTCTTGTGAATGTGGCATTATTCAGTTGTCTGGTTCAGTAACTAGGACAAAATAATGGCCAATAGCTGGGCCAATAGAAAAATAAGAGTAATTGGACATAGCACTGAGGACCAATGGATCTAGTGTGAGTCTATGTCTATCTTGCTTGCAATCATTCATATGTCTGTTCCATCTAGTTTCTGTTTCAGTCAGCAGGGCAGGGCGTGATCATCGTTAATATCTTTTTAATAACTGAGATATTTTTTATAAATAATTCATCCTAAAATATGCTTTTTAATATGCATTTTAACCTATACAGTATTTATGTGCAGTATGTCCACTTCAGGATATCACAAATGACTATCACAAAAGATGAAATGTGAAAATGTGTCTTCCATCACTTCTTTGTCTGAAAAGTGTGAATCAGGCTGGAATACCCTAGAAATGCGAGGCTACTGAAATTCATGAGCATCCTTAGGTGAGACTAGTGAGTGCTCCCTTATACAAGAACTGTTATACTAAACTGCGCTGCTATGATGGAATATGGTTATGCTGAAGCCTATTTTCTTACCTGCATCTTTCCTCTTTTCACGTGAAAGTTCATGAACATTTGCTCTGATGTCATCTCTCAAGGTCTTGATGATATCTGGAAGGGCAGAAATATTCTTGCTCTCCAGATTAATGAAAAATTCATATTCATCTTTGTTCAGCCGTGAAGGTCTAGATTCAATGTGAGTCAGGTTTATCCCCTTTTCCTAGAAGACAATGCAATAAATACTATTTTTTGCTGGCGGCCTAGAATGTGTCTGACAATATGTTTTCTATGGCCTGTGCAGACTATTGTGTATAAAAATTTTGACATCAAGAACCTTTGTTTGCTAGTAAAGTGTTCTCACTATTTTTTTAAATAAAAACATATATTTAAAATGTTGAGTCTCACATAAAAGAAATTGGTAATCAGGTTATCAAAGATTGTAGGCCTGCATATACTATTCTAATAAAGACCAAATTGATATCTCTGCAAGGCCTGAATATAATGAATATCCTACCTTTCTTTATTTTCTACTATCAGACCAGTGGCCATTAATCTCGATGGCTATATGGTACCATTCAGCTCAGAGACATCTTGATTCTCAATAGCAGTTGCTAGGGAACAGCAATGCAAGATAACTACTGTCTTCATCTTCTGTTCTGGGGCTTTTTGTGAGTATCTCATTGGCTATTGGGAAATAGGATGTTGCACCAGCTGGATCCTTTTATGTCCTCCTATGAAGTATTTTTGAGGAAAGTTTATTTACAGTTTCAGCCATAACCCTTTCCATAAGAAGCTGGGAGCATCAGAGGACCAGATCATGACCTTCCAACATTAATATTGTATGGAGACTGAATCTGCTTTTCCCTCACCAAATGCACAGACACAAACTGTTCCAGGTAATACAGCAGAAGGCCCAAATGTGACATACTGTGTAAGTTACTACCCCAGTAAACCAGGAATAGTTCCAACCTTCTAATATGAAAGACTGCAAGTATCTCCCACTTAATAGCTTAATATTTGAGGCTTGTCACATATGTCACTGATTCATTTTGAATTAAAAGAACCTAAAAATATTAAAGATCAGGTGGGGCAGCAAGTCTGATGGATCTCAGTGAAGGTAGACCCAGGAACAATTACCAAGGACTATATACTCACTCCGTATGCCAAAGTTACATCTTCTTTTTAAAAAATATAGTTGTGATCATGAAAAATATCTACCTGAAAGAAAGCTACAACAATGAATAGAGCGGTTTAAAATATCATGGGTGGTTTAAAATATCATGAATACAAATATACTACCAATAAATATAGGGTGTTGTTGTTGTTTCCCCCAGAGCTGAATGTTAAATATATTCAAGAGCAGAGTGCTACCCATGGCACAGAGAGAAATTCAAAAGGACCGTCTGCTCAGAAGCAATGGACACCATTGGATCTGTCTTATCTGAAGTTCTAAGCAATGAGCACCAAAGATGAACTAAACTGTTTGGCCAGATACCAACACAACAAGTTGAAAAGGTCAGAAGTGCATTCAAATCCCCTGGCACAGGAAAGAGATCCTTCTAATGGGGGTGGCCTCCATGCAAAGACCTCTGTTATCCAAGCCAAGCCCTGAGGTCAAGTTGTTTTAACTCTCTAAAGATCTGCATTGGCCACAGACAATGCTTTGTATTTGCTATTTAATTAGGTGCTCACAAATCATTAGAGGGCTCCAGCGCTAAGGAAGGGTGAAGTTTAAATTACTCCAAGCAAGATTTATTATGATCAAGACCAGATCCTACAACTCACAGTCTGCTCTAAGCAAGAATGCTATGTAGTACCATCACTGGAATTAAGATTTGGGGTTTATAGTGAGATTTATCTGCCTTTCCTGCAAGAAGTGGCAGATATTTCACAAAGTCAGTCAACTGAGCTGAGAACAGAAGATGGAAATGTGAAACTCTATCTTGATCTCTACTATTCTTCCATCGCCCTTAGAAGCAGATGCAAAGATTTTTGTGCTAGAGAAAAGTTGCTGTCTCCACTATTTTTTTTAAATAATTGACAGAATCCAATGATCAAGGGCCCTGGGAAAAGGACAAACAATTAACCCTTCTGCTTCCATAGCAGCACCACAAGTACATGCTTGATTAAAGACATACTGAGGAACATGGAAACCTGCATCCTGAAGTCTAAACCTATCTAGTCATACAATCTGGAGACAGGTTGCAGGAACAACACAACACAATTGCTACCAGCTCCATCTGTACTTCCTTTGGTTGTGTTCTGATGAGGGGGATCAGATGGGAAAGATCTGTTAATTTTAGGATACTCAAAGGAATTGTGGGAAATATAAATTGATAGCTGGATCCTTCCATTTTAAAGGAGCCAGCTGGGAAAAAATCCTGAAAGCTTCAACTAGTTAGTCATCTACAATACAGAGCTTTGTGGATCAATGATCTCAGCTGATAAGAGGCAGCTTCCTGTCTTCAGTTTTGCGCTGCTTTTATATGGCAGTAAAGTTAGGGTGGCCACATGTCTATTTCTCCATTCTGAACAGCCACTAAAGGACAGTTGTCTGAAGCAGTCTCCAGTCCACATTTAAAGTTAAAGAACTGTAATAAGAGAAAACAAGGAAAATGAAGCTGAAATTTAGTAACTTCCAAATCCCCAAATTATAAAAGTTATTAAGATAACTTCCCTGATATTATTAAGCATTTTAATCAAAAACATTTCCAATACATAACAACTCAATGTGGTTTTTGTAGGATCCTAGTTAGAGTTCTGTACTCCTAGTGTCTCATGCTAAAAGCTGCAACTATATCTACAGTATCTGACTTGCCTTTTATATTACAGGACAAACCCTAAACAAGAAAATAGGTGGCAGTTTAACTTTACAACATGAGTTAGAAAATCATTGCATACTTTCCACCAAGACAAGCAGTTTTTAGTAGGATTTGTAGGATTTCTGGCAGTTTGGAGGCATCTTCAGATATGTTGGCAAACAAACCAAGAAGTCTGAGAAACTGGTTTGGAACAAGGCAACATACTGAATCATGGTTTGAAGTTTAAGTCCAGATTTCATGGCAGATTTTTTCACTTGCTCACTTTCCCTATAAAGAAAAAAAATGGAGGGGCTTCATGCACAATCCAAAAATCTCATTCATATGTCAAGGACTAGAAGGAGATATAATTTTATGAACATTTCCAGTAATATCTATTATATTACTTTAATCTTTGTCAGTTTATGATGTACATCTAGGTCCTTATAAGACCATGAGAAGAGTTTGTGCAGCCGGTTTCTGCTGACTGGAAAAACTCTCAGCATTTCTTGCATCCATACAACTCTACAAATTTTTATCCCTCTTATCAAAGAAAAAAAATGGTGACTTTTGGTTCTGAAAAACCTTGCCAAGAAAACTTCAGGGACTCTCCAGGTAGTCTCTGAGAATCGGACACAATTGAATGGATTAAAAAAATATTTGCAGTATCCACTGCTTAACTGGTAAAATTTTGATTATCAGCAAGATGTACAAATATATTTACTTTCTTCCAATGTGCTTCTCAGCCCCTAGCTCTGTGAGTTCAATAAATATCAAGTTCCGAGAAACATAAATATTAAATTGTTTTCTTATCAAATAATCTGTACTGATTTTGCAAAGTTTCTGCGCATGCAGAAAAAAGTATCAGATTTCTTTAAAAAGTGTAAAGATAGTATATCTCAAATTGAATTTGAAATATTCTTGTATTTCTCTAAAATACAAGATACAAGATTGTAATACTCTAAATATTAAAATAACTGAATTCAGCAATTATGTAATATTTTTATTTTTTAAATAAACATCCTAATCCATTCATTTCCTCTTGTAGAAAATGCTGCATTATGTTTGAAAATTCATATATTTTTGCATTTCCCACAACAGAGGAATAGATGGTTAATTTTTAACTGGTCCAAACAAAAACATTTGATCTTGGAGCTGCTCCGAATTCATGTACAAACATCACTCCCCTATGAAAAGGCTTAGCACATGACCACCACATTCTCTGTTGCTAAATTATGATGCAAACATGAGTCTTTCAGCTAAAGCAAACATTGCTAAAGCTGAGCTCATCCAAAGTGCTGACAGAGATACTCACTGCTTTGACGTTTATGTAATGAACGTGGAGGGAGAGAAAGGTCAGCCATCTTTCTTAAATGCCCTAACTTACTATATGTTTTTATAACAGAGGTGCAAAACAGAAGATGTCCCCAGAGCCCCCCTTCTGAATCAGTGGCTCTTCCTGCAGTTTTGGAGACACACCAGAGGAGAAGCAACTATATTGGGCAAAGCCTTGAGCTAATAACATTAACCCCATATCAAGAAGAGGAACCCGTTTTTCTATGGAGGATAAAGATAATCTAGGAAAAGCTGCTTGCTGGTGGTCAGTGGGGCCAAAGCCAGTGATGGGTGTGGCTAGGGCCCAAAGTGGGAAGGGCTAACCTTTCTCCCTTTTTTTTCCAACCCTTTTGTGGTCTGGGAGCAATCACTTTTACCAGAGGATCTAAATGACAGGTTGAAGAAAATGTTTGAAATTAACTGAGGGACATTTGTAACCACTTCACTAAATGCACCTTAGTTTAGTGCACCTGCATTTGTGGAATTCCTTCCTTCTACCCTTAACAGATTTTCAAAAGTTACTTAAAAAAAAAAAACTTTCCTTTTTGGAAAGGTTTTGGTTTTCTAAGGACTGATTTAGGCAATTAATTTTTAACTGTCACTGGCTTAATTATTTCTATAACTACTGTATTGTGTGTGTGTTAATGTTTATTCAAACTGAAGTTTTTAATGTCATTTAAATCTTTTTACCCATAAAAAGGTAAAAACCTTTCAATAAATAAATATTTTACACATAGCTATGGTGAGAATATGTGACACAAGTTCAGAAATAATTCTGCTCCCTGTTGAAAAAAACCCTGCCCTCTGCCTCCTCTCCAAATCCTGAGGGGAAAACTGAACGGCATCAGTGGAAATTTCCATTCCAGAAGCTTCCAGAAGATGGAAAAAATATCCTCCAAGTTAAATGCTCTGCTCTTTGTTCCATGATAGCTATTGTTTTAAAAAATAAATCTATGCCAAGTAATGGCTTCCATGCAATAAATACAGTATATCATTTAACACTCATATTGTGTTGACATCAGTTGGCAATATTAATATGAGGCAAGTGAATATATATAAAATTCATTCCTCTCATTAGGAACACCTTCTAGGTTACCATTAATACACTGAATTGCTGCATTTCCTATGGCTTCTTTGTAAACTACCCAGAGTTGTTGGGAGTCAGGTAGCATATAAATTTAATATATTATTATCATTGTTGTTATTGTTATTATTTTTTCGCTACAAGCCCCAACAGCTGGAAGCTAAAACAACTGGGCTTTCCTGATTGACTGCTGTGAGATGAAATAGGATTGAGTTGCACAAGTGATAAACAAGTTTTCTTTAATCTGTAAAACTTTACTTTGAAAATAGAAGGCCATATTTCCAACTGTACATAATGCCCTTGACCAGTTAGCCCCAATCTGATGCCTCTAAACATGTTGGATTACAATTTCCCATAATCCCTAGCCAGCACAAACAATGAAAGACAAAAACATTGGAAGGGCACCAGGTTTGGAAAACCTGAAATAGACAACAGAAGTTTCAGATGATGAAACGAACTCTTTACAATTAGCTCAAAGAAGGTTGCATAAAAGCACACATATTGGTCCATTTAGCCCAGTTTTGGAGATTTTCCAACTTTCAAGTATTGAATCAGGGCTGTTTTACATGCAGATCCACATGATATCACTGAGACATATGACTATATTTTTGCCCAATGCTCATAATAATTTCTTGACAATCTTCTCTCATTCGGCTGAAATTAATTAAGTGGTCATTCAATATGACAGGTAGGAAGCAAGGAAAACTAGCATGGAGTGGGGAACAATAATGTAATGCTCAGAAGGAATTGTATCCTACACAATTCTAAAAGGCTGTCAGATAGAAGAGGACAAATATTTGCTGAGCCAAAGGTTAAGTTTAACTCTAATGATCTACATGTTAAAGGGGGAACTATACTGATTTTGCTCCTGATGTTAAGAGGTATTTAAAAGTGAAACAATTTTCTGGAAGGAGAATGATCAAGTCTTCTTTTCTAAAATAAACTAAAATCTCCTTTAAGTTGAGCTAGATTCCTGCTGATTTTATGGAGACCTACATGTAGTTGCCTTGGCAAAAATTTGGAAATAATTTGCCATTTCCTTCTTCCAAGATGGTTTTTTTTTTAAAAATCCCAGTTTAGCCTATAACCCTAGTATTCCCTGAAGACCTCACATATATAGATACTACCAAGCTGCTTTGCTGCTGAGCCCAGACAATGCCTGTTTCCATCACTAGACATCTTCAGACAAGACTAGATTGTCATCTGTGGGGTACTCTAACTCTGAATTTCATGTGTCAAGCTGATTCTATGAGATGAATGAAGAACAGAGCTGCACACTCATCACAGCTTCCCTAGAGCTCTGCAGGGGAAGGGCAATGTATCTATGGAGGCTGAGCCACCTCAGGAGAAAGAGGTTAAAGAAGTCTTGCTTCTCCACTCTTATACACAACTAAGAAGGGCAGACAAGCTCTCAGTCGGATTGAAGAATAGCATTTCAGCCTCTTTTCAAGTTAATGTCAAGTGAATCCACCTGATTAACATCCTCAAGAGAAAAAAACAAAAACCAAGAACATATATTGCTTCTCAGGATACTATTCCATATAACCAATTAGTATATCCACAAAATATATTAGTCTTTAAGCTGATACCGCGGATCTGTGATGTTTTTGTGGTTACAGTAAGTGAATTTTTATCAGTAATCAGTAGGGAACCTGAAGCTCATGAACTATATGCGGGTTTCTTGTGATCCACCAGAATCCCTCTAGATCTGGTTACAGAAACTCAGATTGTACAACATGATTTTTCTTTCTCCTTTTCATTTATTTGCTGAAATAGTAAGCAATATAGTTATCTGACTCTACTAGGATTAACACATCTCTTTTATTTTAAGCCAATCCTCAAGGTATGGTTTTCATCAAAAGGATGAAAATTTTGACAGCGACTCTCTGGTGACATCATTGCATCACCCCAATGCCCTCTGTGTAATTCAGAAGCAGGTTGTTGGCCTTTTTAAAAAAAAATGCAGCCTCCAGCTACAAATATTTGCCTGCTCATGATCTAAATGACATCTCAAGATTTGAACAGAGCCATTTTGTTATGTAAAATCTCTTGTTTCCATCCCACATGCATCTTCTGAGTGAAGTTTGAGTAAGATGCATTGATTGAAAATCCCATTCTGAAGTTATTGAACACAGAAAGAAAGGTCTTTACACGTCTCATCCTCGATAATCATTGTTTTTTTCCCCTTCAGTTACGAAACAGAAGCTTCAGGAAGAAAAAACATTTCTACCCCCCACTCCCCTCTCCCTCTGCAGCTCGTTTGTTGTTGTTTTTCTAAATAAAAAAAAAATTGTGGGACTCCATTCATCACACACTTTGTGTTTATGTATAACTTTTTCCTGCCACATACAGTGCATTTAAAACCCAGACTAGATCTTTTTTAAAGAAATAAATAAAACCACAAAGCCTGGGATTTCAAAAGGGAAGCTAGCTACTAGAAAACAAGAAAAGGCATTATACTATTATCATTTTTATGGCTCAGACACACACATACACAGAGCATCGGTACTGTCTATAGAACTCTTGTGCATAATCCTGAACATGTGGAAATATACTTCACGTTAAAAACAACTAGTGTTGCTGCCATAATTTCTTTTTCTGTTCCTCCCACCCCAAACTACTCTCATTTAGTATGACAGAAACAGCTGCTTTTGATTCCCCCCACCCCTCACTGAAAATTTAATGAAATTTTCAAGACTGAAATCAGGAGTACTTACAAAGTGACTGAAAAGTGTATGAATGTTCCACCTTTCATTGTACAATCATCGCTGCCTTCCCATACTTAAATCCCAAAGGAGGATATCACATGGAAATTCCTCATTAGGGTTGTGGGGTTGTTTTATTTTCCAGATTGGGAAACGTGGACAGCCAGGGAGGCTTCAGAGTAATGGAAAGATGTGCAACCAGAAACAACAATTCCAGTTGTAACAGATTTCATCACCTCTTACAATAAAATAAGATAAAAAAATAACACCAAGAGAAATTCTAAAATAAATTATCAAACACTCAGAGGAGAAGAAGGAAAAAGAAACTTATTTTGCAGGGAAAGAAAACTTTTAAGAAATCACTTCAAAGCAGTTTCATATGACCATAGCAAGCCTGAGATAGAATTAAGAGGGTTCCAAATATGATAAATACAATTATATTACTACAAAAAGTCAGTGTCTGAAATTAAGTGTAGATTTCTTTCAACAAACTATCTGAAGATGGATTATCTGAATTAAACATAATGTATGGCATTCTATGAGAGCCAGTTTGGGGCAGTAGTTAAGGTACCAGGTTAGAAACTGGGAGATCATGAGTTCTAGTCCCACCGTAGGCACAGAGCCAGCTGGGTGACCTTGGGCCAGTCACTCTCTCTCAGCCCTAGGAAGGAG